TTCATTGAATACATGAAAGTACCAGGAAAGAAATATAGTCTGACTCCTCTTTATTTTTCTTTATTAATAAATCCTAATAAACTACATCTTTATTTTGTCGTATAATCTATGAAACAATTTTGAACAGATGAACGTCTAACTAAAAAACTTGAGTTTTTCCAAGTTGGTTTCTTGTATATTTTCGGTAACTCGCCGTTGGTTCATGTTGACGTTAACATAAGGAACATAACAAAGAATAACAAAATTATTAAATATTTTTATACTATTATTTAAAATTATGTGAAAAATATATGGTAGATAACTATGGTTATATACTAAGAAATGTGGTTAAATAAAATGACATATGTCATTTATTTATAGGATGGGTGTAAACACGCGACGCGGATAAGTATTTACCAATTTTCTTCTAATATTATTTAGTACTTATTTGTGTATTAGCAGTAGTAATATTTACAGTTGGAAATGAATTTTGTTGCGCCAAATTATATCAACTGTTTTAGGTTTAAACTAATAGCTGCATATCGTGTGTTGCACATTCTCTTATCTAATCATGGTTAACAAATATATATTCTTATCTCTATAAATTATACTTAACGGTAATAAATTTGTATGTAATTCCGTGTAAATACTAAGTGCTGGTAAATATTTACCGTACTAAGATGGATAACCTACTCTGCCCCATTCCTATCCCTAGTCGATTTGTGGTAATATTAGGGTTTTTCCCACAACTCCATTATGGATTCTAATTCCTAATTAAAAAAGGTTTTTATCTCTCTCTATGTGTATAGATACCCATTCTTCTTCCTAATTCTCACATCTATTCACAAAGTCTCCTCATTCTTCTCTCTTTTTTTTTTGAACCCTAGGAAAACCCGCAACCGCTACAGCTTTTGCCACTGCCTCTGCCCTTCGGGTGAGCACTCTATGCGCACTGGGTACAAACGATGGGAATTATCTCATACTACAAAGACGAAGCACAAGAACCACTCATAAAACCTATAGAAAAAGCCCAAGATAATTCTACTTCTTCTATTTCAACCCCAAAAGAAGAAGAAAAAAAGAAGTTGCAAATACCAAACAAAGCCAATGGACTTGACATGGAAAATTATACATGGGGTCAATCACTTGAAGAAGTTACAATAAATATCAAATTACCGCGTGGTGAAAGAGAAAACTATTTTACTGTAGCAATTGAGAATAGTAATTCTCTCAAAGTTGGACGACATCTTCAACCATTTATAATAGATGGTCAACTTTTCAAGGAAATAAAAGCTGATAAATGGAGTTGGTATTTTTCTAGTAAAGAAGAAATTTGTATTATTCTTCCTAAGAAAAATAAGAATTGGTGGAAAAGTTTGTTGAAAGGTGGTCCAGAAATTGACACACAAAATTTTGAGAATAAATGGAGGATTTTGACACAAAGAGCATTGCAGCCTTGGAAAAGATGTATTTTTGGCTAGTTATGTCATTCACTTATTTTAGGTAGTAGTAATTAATTTCAAGGTATTTTTGGTGGAGTGTAATGGTTTTTTATTTGAGTTGAAGGAAACTGGATTTGAGTCAAGATCATTCTTTTATTTGATTGGGTTCTAAATTATTTTTTTATTCTTACCATATTTCTTATCCTTAGATTTTATACTACCTGTTGTTTCTCTTGTTTCGATTATCCTATTGCCGTTATTTACTGTCGTTTTTTCACTACTATATTTCTTTTAAACATTGTTGTTATTGTGTGCTTTGTGTAAACATCACCCTCCCCAGACCTTGCTCGTAGAATATAATTACATCAGATTTGTTATTGTATATTTCATGTAAAGCTATAATAAGCCTGCTAAAACCAAACAAAGGCAAAGGCCAACATGGACAATTATTCATGGAGTCAAATCACTTGAAGAAGTTACCACAAAAATCCCAGTACCACCTGGTACAACGTCAGAAACCATAATTTTCAGAATTTTGAATAATAGTAGTAGTAGATAACGATAAAAAAAAGAAATTACAATTCGTCTTGTTAAGAAAAATAAGATTTGGTGGAACAGTTTGTTCAAGAGTGGTTGACACACAAAATTTTGAGCCAAAGCCTAGTAAAGTTTGTTGGATTTGGACATAGATACAAGATATGCTCTAAAAAATTCATCTTTTTTGGCTAGTTATGGTTCCTATTAATAGAAGCACCCCAGGATTTTACGCGACAAGGTCACAGTATTCTGCTCAGTCAGTGCCTCATAAAGGCTTTTAGCATTCAGGGTGTCAAGTACTTTAAATTAATTATTTTCAAGATATAATACATTTACATATACAAAATTTCTAAGGAAACTTACGGGTCCACTAACCCCTCACTATAATACATAGGTCCGCCTTTACATACTAAGGCAGCCTTCTAGTAATTTATTTTGAAAAAGAATAATATCATTGAGATCTTTGAGATTGTTTACTATGGAAACTTCAATCTATATTTCATGAGATGTAATAGGTTTATATTATTTGAGCGAATTAAAGGAAATTGAATTTTTACGAAATCAATGTTTGGCTATAAAATTTTAACTTTTAATTAAAGATTTTTTTTTTTAAAGTCCATCATCAAGATGGAGGAGTTAGGCATGACTCCAACCTGTGTATTTCAAAAATAACAATTACACGGAGGAGGACATAAACCCCAGCCTCGATTACATAGTGTAGATTGACTAAGGCCAATCTATTGTACAACTGCAAAAAACAATTTGGACAGAGAATGGAAGCAATCTCCTTACCTATAGACATGTACATAACACCAAAAACTGCTATTACATACAAGTTTGGCACTTCTGCCCGAACCAAAATACTCTCAAGTAATAACATCATTAATTGTAAATTGGTTCCTTCTTGTTGTGAATCTGAAATTCGGAAGGCCATCTTGTTCTAACTGCAAAGAAGCTCTAACTTGTCTTGGAAGAGAAACAATTTCATTGAAGATAATGTGTTCCTTTGTATTTTTACCCAGGTTAGCAAGTTGATCAGCTACATAGTTGCCTTCTCTAAAAGTATGCACAAAATTAAAATTACCTAGACTGGTTATCTCCCAAATCTGCTCTATAATATGTTTGATCCGCCATGGTGGCTTCATCCTTCTGTTGATAATAGAAACAATTAACAGGGAATCTGTCTCCACAATAACATTTTGAAGTCCTAAGCTATTGCACAATTTGATACCATGTAAAACTGCCTTAGCTTCAGCCATGTTATTGCTACAATGTCCATAAAATTCAGCAAAGGCTTTCACCATATCCCCCAACTGGTCTCTAATAATACCTCCACCTCCAGCTGATCCAGGATTACCTTTACTGCACCCATCTACATTGAGTTTAACCCAACCTCTATCTGGTTTCTTCCACCAAACTGCTTGAGAATGGATACTATGTTGAATCTTCTCTATTGTCCTACACTTTTCTAGCCATACATGTGGAAGAGTAAGACTGGAGAATTGACAGTTAAGCATCAAAGATAAGCAATTAGAGACTTGTTGAATAATATGCCATCTTGACATGTGAATATCTTCAAATCTTGCTGAGCATCTATTCTTCCAAATCTCCCAACAGATAAGTGAAGGTAAACACTGCAGAACCATAGAGTGAACTAAGCTTCTTTCCTTAGCTAGCCACCACTTCATAAGAGTTTGCCTTATCTGATCCTTGATAAACCTAATGCCATAAGCATTGCAAAAATAGGACCATATCTGTGTTGCTATTTGACTACTACTGAAAAGGTGTGAAATGGTTTCCTCATCATGATTATTACAACAACAACATTTTGAGGGAATCATAATACCAAATTTCTTAACAACATCATCAGTAGGGATCCTAGCTTGTAGAAGTCTCATCATAAAGAATGAGATCTTGAATGGCATTTTTTTATGCCAGATCTTCTTACATGTCAGAGACTCCCCCTTTTTCTTCCTAACAATATCCCACGCTGACTTACAAGTAAAGACTCCAGAATTTTCCGGCATCCAGCAAGGGCAATCATTCCTCAGTTCATTGATATCCACTTCAATTTTTAGTTGAAGATGAATTTCTGAATTTTTTGAAAATTTAAAAAACTCCGAAAGATTGTTTTTCAAAATTTTCACTTCAAATCACTCACAAAAATTCAAAAACAACCCAAAATTGTGTTCATGTCCAAACACAACTCTAATTTTCAAATACCATTTTTAATTTAAAAAAAATCATTGTTTTTCGAAATTTTACAATTCTTATGTCCCAACGCCCACTTATTTCCTATGTTACAACGGGAGGTTATTTGGTACGTAAAAAGAAATACATATTTGATAAGACTAATTAGTCACGGGGATAAAGTTGATTGTCAATTAGAAGAGCGAGAATTAAACCTAAATAGTCATGTGTCCTCTAGATGAAATAAAACTACCACATAGATCCTTTGGCCAGGGATGCGTATATTTCGAGTAAAATCGATAACTCGAACCAAAAAAAAATTATTTTATCAACATCAAGTTATTAGTTTGTTCAGAAACATTTTAATGTTATAATGATATGATCCATTTGATTTTCTTGAATTAAAAATTTTCGAACTTTGTATCACTAATCATTAGATTATATAGTCAACGTTAGTCTTAATTAAATTATCTTTATACATTTGAGTAAAAAGGAATACTATTATTCCCTTTGTCTTGCTCCTACAAAGGTAGATTGATGATTTATTTTTTTAGTTTATTTAAAAAAGAATGATTTAATACTTATTTAATTTACAGGAAGGAAAAGTAAATACTTACCTTTGATGTAACATTCAATTCTCACTAAACTTTTAATTTCTTTTTCTTTCATTAATTCGAACTTTTAGAAAAAATTAAAAATAAACGAAAACTAGGAAATAGGTCTTGAGTCGGTTTAGGGGCTTTCCAACTTAATTAAGGATTCTAATTACTAATTAAGAGGCCATTTATCTCTATAAATACACTCATTCTTCTCCCAAATTCTCACATTAATTCACATAATTTTCTTCTCCTTCTACTTTTGCTCTTCTTTTTCAAAAAGAATTGTTTAATTTTTTTTTTCAAGTATGGCAATTCTATCTGATTATACTGAAGAAAATCAAGAACAACCTATGAAGTCTATCGAAAAAAAGCAAGAAAAATCTTCTTCTTCAGCCCCAAAAGAAGAAGAAAATTCATCTTCACCCCCAAAAGAAGAAGAAAACAAGAAGCTAAAGCCAAACAAATCCAATGGCCTTGACATGGAAAATTATTCATGGGGACAATCTCTTCAAGAAGTTACCATCAATGTCCCAGTTCCTCCTGGTAAGATTTTTCAATAGTTTATACATTAAATTTTTTTGTAATTACTGTTTTTATTCAAAACTTGAATTTAAATAATATAAAAAAAATTAAATTTGTAAGTTTTAACACGTCTCTAACCGTTTGTTTGACTTTGAATGGTTGTTGCGTATTATATCATATCGTATTGTTATTTTAATATAATATTTGTTTTGATTGTTATTTTAATTTTACTGTATCATGTCGTTACATCCATTATTACATAACTATATCGTAACCTTATTTTTGCTTTGTCTTAAGTTCTTTTATCCTTCATCCTAACTTTTTAATGATTACGCTATCTGATACTTTACTTTTTCTTTATAATATTGTATGCTTATTTTTTAAATTGCTGGAGTGTGACATTACGAGACGATAAAAAAGGATACAATCTGTTCAAATATTATATAAACTAAAACAATACAGTACAATACGATACAATACATTAAGAAACGATACGTAACAACCATCCAAACAAACGGTAAGTTATTGTAAGCTTTTTTGTCTTACCTTGTGTTATTTTATTTTTTTATCCGGTACAAAATCAAGATTTTTGGTAGTAAAACGACACAATTTATTTAAATATTATTTAGACTAAAATAATATAGTACGATACAATACATTAAGAAACGATACGTAACAACCATTCAAACGAACTGTAAGTTATTGTAGGTCTTTTTGTCTTACCTTGTGTTATTTTATTATTTATCAGGTACAAAATCAAGATTCTTGGTTGTTGAAATCAAGAACAATTCCCTCAAAGTTGGACTCAAAGGTCAACTATTAATAATAGATGGTGAATATTTCAAATCAGTGAAAGCTGATGAATGTTATTGGAGTTTAGAAGATCAGAAAGAAATTTCAATTCTTTTAACTAAACAAAACAAATCTGATTGGTGGAAGAGTTTATTCAAAGGTGGACCAGAAATTGACACACAAAAAGTAGAACCAGAACCTAGTAAATTGTCCGATTTGGACACAGAGACAAGGGCAGCAATTGAAAAAATGATGTTTGATCAAAGACAAAAGCAGATGGGACTTCCAACAAGTGAGGAAATTACAAATCAAGATATGCTTAAGAAATTTATGGAACAAAATCCTGATATGGCTAAGAATTTTGCTAATTCTAAGATGATGCCAAATTCTAAGATGATGGGCATGGGATAATTGCATCCAAATTTTATTTTTGTTGATTTTTTTTTAAATCTCTAGTAGATTTAGTTTTTTTTTTTCATACCAGTATGAGAGTGGAACTATTGTTGGAGTTAGTTTTTTTGTTTTGTTTTGGGATTTGGTGTGGTTTTATTATTTGGTCAATGCATAAATCAATTACTCTTAATTTTTTCTATGATTCATGTGACTAGTTTTGGAATTTGATACTGTGATAATTTTCTTTTTGACCATTTCTCTTGCTTGATTTTCTTTTTAATGCTGTAACTTTGGAAGAAGGTTTTTTTTTTTTTTTCGGGATTTGGTATGGCTTTATTGTTTGGTCAATGCATAAATCAATTACTCTTAGTTTTTTCTATGATTCATGTGATTAGTTTTGGAATTTAATATTGTGGTTATTTTAGTATTAACTTTTCTTTTTCTGAATTTTATTCTAATCTCGTGTGGGTTTTGATTTTATTTTTCATACTAGTATAAGAGCTTGAAATTATTATCGGAGTTTTTGGCATGTTTTCGTGGGGCTTTGTTGTTGGTCAATGAATCTAATCGTATTTGGAATTTTCTGTTTGTTAGGAAAAGGTATTCAAATTGGTAGAGTTATGGGGCTTAAATCATAAGCGGATTCAACTATCTCTTGGCAATTATTAGTAACCTTTAACGATAAAGGACTTTATAAAAAAATAATAGAACGATTAGCTGAAAGACGGTATATATCAAGATTCAGATTATTTCTTTATGGTTGGTCTAGTGCGTACGTGTTTAATATCAAATTGTTCTTTCCATCAAGCTAAGATAGATCCGATAAAACATCATCTTTATAAACAATGTATAGCGAGGGAAACAAATAAAAAGAAGTGGTTACTATAATTTATTCAACACATACATAATTCACAATTCTACCAAGGCATCTTCCATATTTTCACATAAAGCCCAAATGAGATATGAAGTTGATTACTAATTAAGCTTAAAATTAAGAAGAGTAACCCAAATAGCCGCACACATAATCGCTTAAACTAAAAACAGGTCCGTGGATGTATAATATATGTATAATTCATATGTCATATGTGTATAATCATTATATAACCTATCTATACTGGCTAGAAAAAATAAATATTAAATCTGGCAGATTACTTGTGTTAAAATCCTAAAATTAGAGCACATTCACTAAGGAAAAAGAAGCAAATAACCAACACCATATTTTATACTCAATCCATGAACTTTCATAAAGCATATATAGAACCTCATATCTTTAAAATACTAGAATTTCATGGATTCGCTAAGGATTTGCAATATATCTTACTGGTTCACTTGCAACATATTTCACCGGCTCACTTGCAACATATTTTACTGGTTCACTTGCAATATATCTCGTTGGTTCACTTGCGACATGTCTAATTGAGTCATCATCCCATACGAAGAGCTCACATTTACCTGCAAGCAACATACACATTCCTTCTTCATGTACTCTCCAATTACATACCTCATTAGTGTGACAAATTTCAGTGTCATTAAAATTAAACAAGTCGAAAAACCCGTGTTTATTCCCTAATTTAATGGCACAAGAAAGAGTATTATTTCCTCCTGGAACAATAGGTATATAGAATTTATCAGTCCATCCTGGTTTCATCGAGTAGTCGCCGCGATCTTCTCCATATATATAACATCTTGCTTCTGCTGTATTTGGAGTTTCATTTTTTATAATAACAACAAAATCACTAGTCAAGTTTTGTGAATTAACAGATGAAATTGCTAAAAAATTAAGTAGGAAAAGGTAAATTATCAAGTGATGTAATGAGGAAGACATGGTTATTTTTCTTCCTTCTTATGTTTGGTTTAGTTTTTTTGTTAATGTAGGTCAAATTTATAGTGATTTATGTGTGTTATATGGATTGGATCAACTACTTCATTAAATGTAATACTGATAATATTTACACGGTCTTACCAACAAGTCATAACAACTTGGTCAATTTAAGCAAAGGATTAAACTTACATACACTAACTGTGTAAATAATTTTTGTCATTTTCTTTCTGTTAAAATAATGCAAAAGGAAGAAGGAGAATTCAGAATTTTCGTAAGTAAAATCCGAGTGAAAAATCGTATATTTATATTCGAAAGGTTGGGTATTACCGAAGAGTTGCGACTCTTTCTTATAAAGGCCGCAACTCAAAGTGGTTGTTTTATGAAAAGGCTAATTACGCAAACTGTCAATTTCAAATTTTAACAAGAAAATCAAAATGGAGGAAAATCAAATTACCGTTACAGAAATAGTTAATTTGGATTACAAATATTAATTTAATCTTAAATATATTTTCGAATACAAATTACTAACAATTTTTATACTATCAGTAAATTTAACATATATAAGCAGATACTTTACTTAATTTTCATGTTTTAGTCCACTTATTATGGACCATTATTTGTAGTAATATTTAGGTGATCTGATATTGTAAAAGTTCTTTCATATTGTAAATATAAGAAAAAGTTCAACTAACTATTGGTGTTGGCTTATTAATTTATGCACTTTATTCGGAAACTAGAAATTATATTATGCTAAAGGAGGGGAAACTTTGTTGAATTTAATAACATTTTGTTGTTCGGTTTAATAAAGCAAAAAAAACAAAAGGAAATTCGTAGTGGCATAAAGACAAATCTAAGAGTTATTATCTAACAGTCAAACAAATAAGCAATTAATTTATAAAGAGTGAAGAGTGAAATTTGGCCGTGTAGAAGTATAAATGGATGGGAAAAGATGAGAAGAGGGTTGATAATACCTTGTTTGGTAGATATTTTGAACCTATGCATTAGTTATGCAAGTATTAATTATACATCCTATTTGATATTATCCTATGCATAACTAATTCATAGAATACCATGGGTATTAGCAATGCAATAGGTTTTAATGCATGCATTAGCTTAGTTAAAGACAAAATTGTCCTTCAAAATTTATGCTTGATTAAAATATACTAGTTATTATATTAATGCAAGTTTAAAATACATAACCCAAATAGTGAGAAACAAAATTATATCTCTAGTAAATAAATAAATACTTAGCATATTTTTTTTTTATAAATAAATATTTAGTTCTATATTACAATGTAGGTAGACAAATCAAATAATTTTTTTAAAACTTTTTCATATAAAAACATTTCTCAACATATGTTTCTTTAAAAAGATAGAGTGATGGACTGGTTTTGAGGGAATTTTTGTAAATAAGTAATTCTTTTAGAAATTGTGCAATGCTTTAATACATCAAAACAAACAATGGATAAGAATATGTTACCATAACTAATACCAGCATTACTAATACACCCTATTCAGCATTATTCTTATGCACCCTACCGAACGACCCCTTAGTTTTACCGATATAAGTTATATACATCGATAGTCGTAAAAAAAAATTATATTATCAATAAATTTTAATCTTATATATGATAGTATAAGAAAACTCTTATGATTCTTGCCCAAATACGAATCTTCCTAACTAGAGAAACAAGACAAACTTAAAAGTCTTGCTCAATTGAATTGTGACAAAACAGTTTCATTTACCATCAGAAAAATTATAAAAATAGAACTAATTGAACAAAATGCTACCTTCTGTAATTTCACATGCATGCATATCTTTTTTATGCAAAATGTTGAATTCCAAGCTGTCTATTATGATTCCACAGCCTGTGTAGTAAAATGGTAATTAAATATTTTCCTCTCACTGTTTTCTCATACATAATTCAATGCTGTGTATAAATTATGGCCATATTTTGCTGCCAAGGTTCTTTGAGATTGCCCATCTCAAATGAACAATAATCTGATGCTTAATTGTGATGACCCAATATGTCATGTTTAATTTAAATATTCATTTCCATGTTCTAAGATCTCAAATAGCACCTTTCAGCGTTCCTCGACATGCGTTCAGTCCGTAAATTTTTTCGGGAAGTTTTTGCGTGAGAAAAAAATTAATTAAAATGTGAAATAGAGCTTTAAAACTCAGTTGAGTTGACTTCGGTCAACCGGAAGGTCCGCATCGTGATTTGGAACTTGGGCGTATGCCCGGAATCGAATTTGGAGGTCCCTAGCTTGACTTATCACCATTTGTTGAAAATTAGAAGTTTGAAAGCTTAAAGATTTCAAAGTTTGATCACAAATTGACTTTTATTGATATCGGACTCGAATTTCGATTCCGAGAATTGGAATAACTCTGTTATGTCATTTAAGACTTGTGTGCCAAATTTGAAATCATTCCGGATTCATTTAATACTTTTCGGCATGAGATTTGTAAATGGAAAAGTTTGAAGCTCCTAAGTCGGAATCGAGGTGTGAATTGTAATTTCGATGTTATTTGATGTGATTGGATACCCTGGGTAGGTTTGTATTATGTTACAGGACTTGTTGGTATATTCGGACGAGGTCCCGAGTGGCTCGGATGAATTTCGGACGAGCCACGGACCAGTTGGAACATGTTGTCCGGTGCTTGCGTCGCACCTGCGCCATTTTGGCCCAGGTGCGTGATCTCTTCTGCGGAGGCAGTGTCGCTTCTGCGACCTTGAGGCCAGGAAAGAAGCTTCGCTTCCACGAAACATGGAGCGCAGGTGCGATGCCTGCTTCTGCGGTGCCATGATCGCAGGTGCGATCTTCCTCGCTTTTGCGGCTTCCTTCACGCTTTTGCGCCGTCGCTTCTGCGACGTGAAGGTCTGCAGGTGCGGTCCTGTACTTGGCTGCTTGTTCCCCAAATGCGATCCTGGTCTCGTAAATGCAAGCTCGTAGGTGCGAAAATATAGTCTGCAAATGCGAAAATGCTGGACAGAATACATAAAATCGGGTGTTAGCCATTTTTGCTCATTTTTGAGTTTTGAGTCTCGAATTTGGGCGATTCCAAAGGAGTTTTTCACGAATTCGACTTGGGTAAGTGTTCTATATCCGAAAGTGATTATATTTCATAAATCCATGATTAAATTCATCGCTTATTTCGGATTTAAATGGAGGAAGATGAGATTTTTGTAAAACTTTCAAAAACGAAAATTTAGGATTTGAAGGCCCATTTGACATCGGAATTTGATAAGTTTTATATGGTTGGACTCGTCTCGGAATGGGTGTTTGAATTTCGTGAGTTTTTTCGAGATTCGAGATGTGGGTCCCACTGTTATTTTTTAGATGAATTTCGAATTTTAATTCGGAAAATTAGTAATTTC